CTGCCCTGGCGGCTTCCCTCTGCCCCGTCCGAAACAAGGCTCATGTGCCCCCCGCTGCAAGGCAGGGAATGAGTCCTGCGTGGGGAATAAGAAAAAGGTGGGGAATAAGAACCCCCTCCCAGATGGAGTGGGGGGGGGGGGCGTCTAGCTCCCCCCTTCCTCCTCTTCTGCCTCCCCGCCAGGTTGAAGGGAAGGATCGCGAGTGTTTCCTTTGCTTTTGGCCTTAAAAAGGCATTTGCATGTATATATGTGCGTGTAGGTATGCATGTATATGTGTGTACCTGTGTATATGGTACAGGTGGGGCTGGACCCGATGATCTTCCGAGGTCCCTTCCAGCCTTACAATCTATGAATCTCTGTGCATACATCTGTGGGTATCTCTGCGTATGCTGCATGTATGTGTGCATCTGTGTATGTGTGCATATGACTGTGTGCATGTATGTATGTCTATATCTGTGTATGTGTGCATATGTATGTATATGTGCATATACTTGTATGAGTGCATCTGTGTGTACCTGTGGAAAGAGCTATCTACATATATATCTGTGCATGTATATGTGTGCAAATGAGGGTGCATCTAGGTGTGCATCTACGTGCATCCATCTGTGCATGTGCGGGCATGTGTATATATCTATACACATATCTATAGATACATGTGTGTGTATACATATCCCCCCTGCGCGCCCCGGAGGGGACACTGGTTTGCTTGCCGAGGGAAGGCCGGGCAGGAAATCTTGTTCTCCTGAGTCACTGCAGCTCCTGCAAGGACACGTCAGAGCCCCTTATCTGCCCGGCGGCACCCGGGGCCCTGCAGGCAGCGCGGGCCAGGCCCAGCCCGGCCCCAGACACACAAGAAAAGCCGCGGGCGGAGGCTCGGGCTGTGCAGCCGCAACCGGGGCTCTGCATCTCCTCCTTCCCCACGGGCGCAGGGTGCCCCTCCCCGCGCGTCAGCCCACGGAGCCCTGGCAACATGGCGAGGCCGTGCCTGGAGCCCCCGGGGGAGGCTGAGGCGCTGCCCGGCCCGTGTCCGGAGATGCAGCCGCCTTCCCCTCCTTCCGCCGCCGGAGCCTTCCTGCCCGGCGCTGAGCGTCCAGGCAGGGGGGACTGGACGCGACTAGGCAGGACGGGACTGAGCGGGCGCCAGCCGCCGCCTCCGGGCGCCGGGCAGGGGGGGCAGCCGCTTTCCTCATTGTTTCCGGAGGCTCCGCCCAGGCGCCGCCACATATAACCCGGCCGGCCTCACTGCGCGCTCACTGTTGCAGCCGCCCCCGGTCTCCTCGCGCTGGCTGGGCTCGCTCTTGCCTGCCTGCCTTCCTGCTTTTCTCCGCTTGGATTATTTTTTTCACTCGCACAAAGCCCAGCTCCGCAATGACAGTCAAAGCCGAGGCCTCCGGACCTACGTTAACTTACTCAAAGATGAGGGGCATGATGGCCATCCTCATCGGTGAGTGCTAGGGATGGAGCTGGAAGCAGCACTCGGCGCTTGCTGGGCACCGGGTGCCTTGGTTTCCTCTGGGGAGGTGGAGAGAGCAAGTAGGGGGTTTTTCCCTTAAACACCACTTTGGGGATAGTTTTTATCTTAATACAAGTCTATATGTTTATAGAATATGTCTCTCTGTTTATATTTTATTTTTATGTTTTATGTATATATCATTTGTGTATATATGTACATACACATATATGCATACATATACAGGAATGTGTGTATATATCTAATATATGTGTGTGTATATATGAGTATATAATGTGTGTGCGTGTGTCTATTATGTGTGCTATATATATATGAGTCTATATACTGTGTGTATGTATGTCAGTATATAATGTGTGCGTATATATAAGTGTCTATATAGTGTGTGTGTGTGTGTGTGTGTGTGTGTGTGTGTATATATAAATGAATACATTTTTTTTCTTTTTGCTTGTAGCTTTCATGAAACAGAGAAGAATGGGGCTGAACGATTTCATTCAGAAAATAGCCACCAATTCCTATGCCTGCAAGCAGTAAGTATCCGCAGCTTGGGGCAGGTGAAAAACATAGTAGCCTATTTCCAATTGAAAGATATAGTTGTTCCCTTCTGAGACAAAATGATCAGAATGAGGCAGTGCCCTGCTCCTCCCCACTCCATGTGTCACAGCAGTATTAGCTGTTCCTCTTCTTTGCTATTCACTTTATAATGCATTCTCCTGTTTGGTTTGGGAGAAACCCGTTGGTTTGAATTTTTAGAGCCCCAGTTTATATCTGATCTTAAATTACTGCACCAGCATTGTTTCTTTGCCCAACAGAGTTTGTGCCTTTCTCCTGTTTCCTTTTAGTCCTGAAAGGCAATAAGGCTTTTCAGCCTCTGTAGGTTGCCAAACTGCAGTTTATCCTTAAGCAGAAGGCATCTATGCCCCCTAGTGGTAAAATCATGCTGCTTCTTGCTCATGTAACCTGTTTCTAATAATACACTCCTTAAACTTCACAGCCCTGAAGTTCAGTCTATTTTGAAAATCTCCCAGCCTCAAGAGCCTGAGTTGATGAATGCTAATCCTTCCCCTCCGGTAAGTTGTCTTTTGTCATGCATAATATTTCAAAATACATTTGTGAAGCTGGTAATAGAAATGTCTTTGTTGGAAACATCACAAAAAGTTCAGATTACAGTGCAAGCTAATGATACTGCTTTAAAAAGGGGTAATCAGTTTTAGGAAATGAAAAAGGTAGAGATTTCTGTATGGAATCTGCTGCTATCCCAGATGGAAAAAAAATAGTTATGTGAATTAGTACAATTTTAGTTATGTGAAACATAGTTTTATTTCCAGAAAATTCAAATTGCTAGGTTTATGATATAAAAACTTTTGCACTCAAGAGTTTTCCAGGACACATCTTCTAACAACTTTTCTTTTCTTTTTTAATTGCAGCCCAGTCCCTCGCAGCAGATCAATCTTGGTCCATCATCCAACCCGCATGCTAAACCATCAGACTTTCATTTCTTAAAAGTGATTGGAAAAGGCAGTTTTGGAAAGGTAAGTTCCACTTTTTCTGCACTAATTTGATCAGTTACCATCTATGACATGTAACTACTTAAGGGCTGGGTTTGTGGCAGAGCTTTGATAAACATTAGAAGCAAAACTCTGCATGACTGGTTCTTCAGCCAGGAGGGCACTTCAATTCTGAGAAGGAAGCTGCTTGTCCTGAGGGGGATTGGTGGAGCAGGGTAGTTTTATTGGGGAAGAGAGTTAGAGGAAGACCTGGGATTTCTCCTTCATGTAGGATTGGGGGTAAGGAGTTTTTTTTAAACAACCAGGGAGAAGAGGCAACCTTCTTGACCATTTAATAAAATCTAGGGAAATGTTTATATGCATAGCTCTATCTGGCATTTAGCTGATAATGCTAAGTATTTCTAAGAAAGCACTTCCCTGTGCATCTAGTAATAGTGTGCAGTGATAATATAAAGAACTTTGACGTAGTCCCTTCCAGCTGTGTTTCTTATAATTTCTGTTTTTCAACATCTGTTTTCTTTTTTAATGTTCAGGTTCTCCTCGCACGGCATAAAGCAGAAGAACAATTCTATGCTGTTAAAGTACTACAAAAGAAAGCAATCCTAAAAAAGAAAGAGGCAAGTTTTCTTATTATTCACAATCCAACACTATATATGCCAACTATCCTTCTTTATTACTACAAAATAGCAAATGTTGTCACTAAATACTGATGATTCTGTCTGTTTCCAGGAGAAACACATAATGTCAGAGCGCAATGTCCTGTTGAAAAATGTGAAACACCCCTTCTTGGTTGGACTCCACTTTTCTTTCCAGACTGCAGACAAATTGTACTTTGTCTTAGACTACATCAATGGTGGAGAGGTAAGCAGCCAAAAAAAAGATAAGAATTCATATTATGCGTACAGTTGTATTGGAGACTTTCTTTCCATTTTAAATAAGTTCCAAGGGGAAAAGTCATGGGGAAAAGTTGTTAGTTTTAGTATCATTAGCCTGCCAGGTTTCAGACTACCAGAGGATCATTAGGCCATTTCCTGCTATTGTTCTCTTAGCTACTATGTATGTCGAGTCTAATTAAATGCATTGTTACCAGGCTTTGGCACCATTTACAGAACTTTGTTCTTTCTGTCTCCTGTAGTTGTTCTACCATCTCCAGAGGGAGCGTTGCTTCCTGGAACCAAGAGCTCGTTTTTATGCTGCTGAAATAGCTAGTGCACTGGGATACTTGCACTCTCTGAACATAGTTTATCGGTAAGTAGTCACACTCCGTTTGTTCTTTACTCCATACTTTGCTTGTTCAAAGTAGATTTCAATATATTGATTTTAAAATGGCAACTTCTGAAGTACTTTCTCAGAACCTAAAGTTTGCATATGCATAGAATACTAGTAATAGCTCTTAATTTAAAAGAACTAACATTTGCATTATGATTTCTTGTTATTACAGGGACTTGAAACCAGAGAATATTCTTCTAGATTCTCAGGGGCATATTGTCTTGACTGACTTTGGACTCTGCAAAGAGAACATAGAACACAATGGCACAACCTCCACCTTTTGTGGCACACCAGAGGTACATTCAATTTTGCTTTTGGAATGGCCATTATTTGTCTACTGTGTGAACAGAATGGCAGATACAACAGTACAGACTATATTGGCTTGGCATGACAAACACTTCTGTTATAAATTCCCAGTAGAATAGAGGTGAGAGATTAACATCCATAAACCAGTCATCCAGTGAATACTGTGGCACCTATATAGTAGGAGCTGCGTTCAGGCTGTCTCCCTGCATATCAATGACACTTTATAGTGTAGGTACTACACTGGGCTTAGCATGCTTTTCTTGTAATTCAAGAACATAGGCAGGGGAGTTTTTTTTTTTTTTTTGACTTAGCTCCCAGTTCATCCTTACTAATTATTACAGCTTAATTAAATATAGCATGCTACTTTATTGGAGATGGTAT